AAGCCGTTTCCATGCAAGCATTTGGTGTTTTGTGGAACGCCAATAAAGCAGACAGCAAGCTGAAAGGATGGGAATTTTTGCCTCCAGAAGAATGGGATTTGCAAGGTTTCATGATCCTTCCATATATATTGAAACCAGTTTCCCAAGAGTCACGGTTTGTGGAAGGGGTCTTAAAACTATCCTGTTGCTACTCTTTTTGACTAGGATGGTCTTACTCTGCTCTTCCAACTGCAGATCAGATCCCAGTGTGTCACACGTGGGGAACAATGGACAGCACGTGCCACAAAGAGTTTGCAGCCCACATGTCACCACCCCAGGCCTTCCAAAAACTCCTTCAACGTGTTCTGTAACATCCCTGGCCATGGCACTGAGGTCCCACTGCCACCCTGCCAGAGCCAAGACCAGGCATCCCACATGCACCAAAGTTTACAGAGTGGGTAAATACGGAGATGTGTGACTGTGGTCCAATTCTCATTTCAGAGGCTCATCTGATTGTGCTCCTGCCAAGGTACTTCAGCCTGAGGCACACATGAGGGACCTCCAGCTTTGTACCCTGCTGCTGCTGTAATCCCTGTGTCCCAGGAGGGGAAACGTGGAGAGAAGGGGGAGACAGTGCCTGTGATGGCACACAAAGAAAAGCAGATCACAGTGAACTGCTTGAATTAGAAATCACAGAAGTTATTTTGTATTCATCTACCAGAGAGAGAATTTTATATCTAGCCTATACAATATGCTAAACACTTATCAAAGAACATTTAAAGAGAGGAAAATCTTCGCATTTCCTAAAAGACTGCTTTTCGTTTATTATGTTTAAAGAAAAACAAACAAACATATGAGGATAGGATGATGAAAAATTAGAAAAGATAGCCTGGGGGATGAGAGGAAAAGGCTCTCAACAACTTAGTAGCAGCACTTGCTGGTTTTATGCACAGCTGAAGCCAATCCCTTGAAAAGGAGAGTTTTGACTCTTAAGTGGCCAGCACCTCTTGCAACATATTTCCTAATCAGCAAGTATTTATGGTCGATATTTTATATTTCCAATTTCCCCCTAAGGGCTCCTGAGAAAGCAGCACACCTGCCAACCTTTTCAGCTGGGCCAATAATTGCCAATTTGCTCTTTGCCTTAGTATATCACTCAATTTAGCCCTGGCTGTGCCCTGCATACATCCTCATTCATCTCTGTGCCCCCATGACAATTAGAGTGTTAGCTTCAGCTAACTAGGGCAACTATTCTACTAGGGTTGGAAGACAATTATTAGTCTATTTTCCCATCTTGTGGCAACAAAATTGAGAATCCATGACAATTACATTCAGCAATTCTGCACTCTGCCGCCTGCTCCCCCTCCTTGCCCCCACCTTCCGAATATTTCAAATTATCACAGCTCTACTACCACATTCAAATTTTCCATGTTCACAGGGAGTGAGGCTTCTATTTAAATGATAATGAGGGACGATCCATTCAATTTAGTGAGGGAGAAAATCCATTAAAAAGCAGGCAGTTCTTAAGCTGATGGGTCAAGAAAAAGATAAAAACCCTTTTTTCAAGCCATTATACAAGGCTCTGTGTGGATTTTTGGACTGTTCAGGACATCAGAAAAGATTAGGACAATTATGGAACATGGGGAAAACCAAAACAAAATGCCCAAGCTTTCCCCTTTTACTTGGGTCAACACAACAAAATAGCAATATGGCTTATCTGGCTCTTAATTCTCTGGCAACTTCCAATTACCTTGCACTGAAAGGCAGCAGAGGAAAATCCCATTTTGGAAAAAGGCTGTTGACTCTGTTTTGGTTGCAGAAGACCTGAGAGTACATGTGTAATAAGGATATCAGCTCTGTATTAGTTTTTAAGGGAATTTTACATCAAAACTGGGAACATAAACAAGTGGCAGATTCCCATCTCCTCTGTGCACCACAAAGCCTGGGCTAAAACTTCTCTGTTTTTTCTGCTCTGAAAGTTTCATCATCCCAAAGAAGAGCCCAGCCTCAACAAATCAAACCTCTGCAGCCAGAGATGATTTCACTACATCATAATAAGCATTTTTTCCCCCAATGACCCATAATAAATGGCACTTGGTGTAATGTCTGGAAAGACTTACTATATAAGCCAGACAATTACGGTCTCACTATGAAATTGTATCATTCTCTCCCCACAGAATTTTCACTTGTGGCAAGGAAGGAGCAAAATGCTCTGGGTTTCATAGTGGATGAACCAATGGCTGTTTGTGTGTGTGTGTGCACAACATAATCAATCATTTGCCTCAGTTTTCTTTAGAGTGCAATTATTTCACGACAGAGCAGGCCACCTCTTGACTTCACGGTCCATTAGAGACTAATGACATGCATTAATGTAAATAAAGAACAACTTGCTGGCATCCCAGTGAACAAGTCACCTCAAGAAACAAATGGCACAGAGGGGCTTGGCTGTTCAGAATAGCATCTCTGAAAAGGGGACCAGTGAAGCTGGAGGGAGGATCTAGTGCTCCTGAGATGGCACGGCTACAGCTGACACTTGGATGGGCACACTTCCCACCACACCTGCTGTGTGCTACCCTACAGCAGCCAGACCTGTCACCTCCTGCCTCATTTACTCCACTGTCCACCCCACTTAATGGGGAAAAGCACGGGAGGGAAAGGCAGCACAGAAAGCACCGAGGAGCAGCAGGAGAGTGACAAACAGCCCAGGTGGCTCGTGCTGCAGAGCATCCATGTGCAGGGGCACTGCAGCCTCGGTTTGTGACCACCAGCCTCCAGCAAACCCAATCCCGCCTTCCCTGGACATCCTGACTGCCCTGTGATCCTGAGGACATGTGAGGAGTTGTGCCCCCCCAGTGTCACAGCTATTTAAACAGCGTGCTGGGACACACAGCTCCAGAGCCAAGAGGGAGCAGGCATGGCTGGACAGAAAATCCTGCAGCAATCAACGCTCGGTATCAGTAGCACGTTGTTGTCTCCTCTCCCTTTCTACAGTAAGGGAGCCAGTCTGCCTCCTCATCCCTTTGCACAGAATGGGGAAAACCATCTGATTGCACCCGTGGGACTTCCCAAGACTTTCAGACAGTCACTAAATAGGCTACAGAACATGTACCAGTACGAGGCAGCGTTATATGTAATTAAAGCTAAATTGCACTCATCAAATAATGAACGAAGAGCATTCTGTGATTCATGAACCTTACTTTTCAAACCGTTTAATTACTAATTTGAAAAATTCTCATTTGTGATGGGTCGCCAGGTCACGAGAGCAGCTTCAGCAAAGCTCTGAAGTGTGCCCTGGCCTCCAGGCACTGCCCAAACATCTCCACTGACTAAAAAAGAACAGAGTGCCTATTTCCCACTGAATTTCACTGGCTGCTGAACAGGCTTTGAAGATTTTGCAGGAATTAGGCACTCGGAGTCAATTCCTACAGGCTCAGCCTGCAACTTTAGGGGCAAAGGGAAAGGAGGAGAAATACTGGAAGTGCATCGGCTTAACAAGAAAAGTCTCCAAGACCACTTAACGCTTTGACCTAAGCTAATGGCTAAGCTGGAATATGTTATTCCTTTTTCCTGCAGCTCCCAGGCACTCCTGCTCACACACCCGTCAGGAGTGGCCGAGGGGAGGGGAAGCAGGGAATCGCATCGATGTACGTGTGTATGAAATTACCATCGTTATTGACTAATAACACAGGCAAAGGTGTCCCATTACCATCGTTATTGACTAATAACACAGGCAAAGGTGTCCCACAGCAAGGGGATTTGTCCCGGGGCCCCCCCCGGCTGCCTGGCCCCACGGTGGCGCGTGGGCTCGCAATCCTGGAAGCAGATCACAGGACACGTTATTTTTCTCTTCCTCCCACTGCGTCGGCTGTTTACAGCACCCCATTCACACTCCAAACATGTAGAGAGAATTTTCCCCCGTCACATTTCCCTGTCAGAGCTGTCAAGCTGAATCCCGCTTTAATCTGCCAAAAGCACTTTTCTGCTGACATTTTTAATAAATACTTTCAGCTTTTAAACACATTTGTGGGAGCCATTTTTTCCCCCTTTTCTCCCTTTTCCTCCTGTAGAACGGGCTCTGAAAGCCTTAATAGCAAATACATTACACTTATCAAAGGCTTTTCCCCCCTCTTCCTTTTGCATCCTGAAGCGGAGGTAGTGTTTTCAATTTTAAAGCTAAATTAACTGTCCAATTGAATTTAGCTGGTGTGAGCCGTTTTCTGTGACAGGTTTTAGTTATGAAGCATATTTTACATTAATAGAACTCAACATGAAAACCACTCGCTCTGGGATTTCTGTGGCTTGCCATTGAAATGGCAAATTTAATATTTCAGACATGCTCGTGCCAGCGTTTGATTATTGTTCTTCATTTAAATCTCTCCTAACGGGAAAGGTCCTAATTAGTAAAAAATCATGTTTTAATGAAGGCGAAATGCTAATTGCTAACACAAAAAGCCTTCGTATAAAATTATCCCAGCACTGCCATTGATTTCTTGGTGACTCAAAAGCCCATTTGTGTGTTTACACACTAAGGCACCGTTTGCTTTTGTTTTATCATAACATTTCACTCAATGTACCATCGAATTTCCTGAGAGAAAGACAGCTTTCCCCCAAAACCCTCTCATATCTTGGCGGCAGGAAGCATAAAATTAGATGAACTAACTTTGCACCCAAACTATGAGATTACGTGCAGCAGCTAAACCCCAAGATGCTGTAAAGAGCTTTTAAAAACAACTTCTTTGAAAAGACAAAACAAGACATCAAGCCATTTTTCCCCAAGGAATAACAATTCCATTTTGTTTTCCCATCTCCGATCTTTCGCTTATCATATTATTTGCACCATGATTATAGTGTTTGCAAGGCAGCTCAACCACTTATGCCGTAACACTCAATCATGACATAAAAAAAAGTTATTACACAGTGACCTCTGGATGCCAACATTTGTTCAGCAAGATTTATGAAAAGCCATGTCAGCAGCGGGAATTGCTGCAATGAAGCGATGCTTTCTCCTGAACGGTACTTACATCACTGAGACGGTCCCTTGAGCTGCTCCGCTGAGAGCTTGTGGCCTCCCTGATGCTGTCCTCCTCGCTATTTCTGCCACTTCTGCTTGTAGGGACCTTCATCTAGAGGGAGAAGAAGGAGGGGGAAAAAGGAGATTTTCAAGCACTGCTCTGCCACCTGTTCCCGAGGTTGCTGACAGCAGTTCAGTCAATGTTTCACTCCACCCACGGCACCGTGGAAGGGATGGGGTGCATGGGGCTTCTCTGCAGTTGTGCTTGACCACGTGTGTCCACGCTCCTTTCATCACTAACGTGGGAGGAAAGGTGCTTTTGGCACTCCTGGAAGCAGGCGAGGCTGTGCCAAAGTGCTGGGGCCTGACAGGAGAGGGAAGCAGACAGACAAACCACCTTCACTCAGCTCCCAGCACACCTCAGCTGGGACACTGCTGTTACTGCCTGACCCCTGCCAGCCGTCAGCCCCCAGCCCAGAGATGTGCCCTGGGGCCACCCCAGGGACTGGGACTGCACTGACAGGTCATGATGGCACCGAGGGACACTGGCCTGAAACCACTCGCTTGAGATAGCACACAGAAAAGTAGAGCAGGATTAACTCTTACAGCCAAGGCTGGTGCTTCAATTGCTAAATCATCCCACTCCCTTCACCTGCAGTCGTGCTTGTGTTTGGATAGAAGTGAGAGAGCCAACGTTTGAAATCACAGCAACCTTCCTCTTACATGTGCAAAGAGTGCTACAGGGGGAGGAGAGAGGTAGGATAGATGTCATTCACAGCTTCATTCCTGGGCTCATTTACTAACAAATTATTCTGCTAATTCCCTCGTGAAATATTGGGTGGAAAGAAGTGTTTAATTTATTAATAGGTTCTATTCATATCAGTTTGGTTCCATTTAAATTACACTATTTAAAATGTCGGCTTGTACAAATTGGTATTTTTAATGGCAATAAAACCTCTTTGTTTCTTGCTGTCCTGTTCCACGGTGGTGCTGGCAGCCAGCAGTTTGCTTGTGGTGCTGATTTAACCCCTGCAGCCCTGGGAACACTGGACATGCTGTCACCACGTGGGCACAGCAATCTGAGTGCTGGGAGCACTGATCACTGCCCTCCATGGGTGTTTGACAGTGCTGCCAGCTAAGTACCCCACAGTCTGGTAGTGTTTTAATGAAATGTTCAGGGTACTGTATGGAGAAGGAGCTCCAGTTCTCATCCAGAGTGCACAGCCCTGGATGGGCTTGGGTAGCAGAAGTAAAATGAAAAGAAAGAAAAGTATCATGCTCAGTAGCATGTGATTAATGTCCTTGCCCTGCATGCCCTTCTGCCACCTTACACCTCACCAATACACTTTCTTCTGCGGCATAAGACTTTTAAACACAAATAAAAAATTTTTTCATGGCCACCTTATCACACAACCACCACTCTCAGCGCAGTGCCCTGTCTCACTCCTTGTCCACCACCTTTCAAATATGTTGCCCACCTGAAAACTTTTATCATGACCAATATTTCATCTTTGCTCCTACGTCAAAATGTTCAAAAGCACAGCAATGAGATGTAATCCTTGCTGGGATCAGCTAGAAGCATTTCCAACAACAGTGAGCTTGCATTTGCAACTATCCACACCATGTATCAAGGCAAGAAATAATCCACTTGGAGTTCATGATGTTCAATCCATATTGTCTACTTCCTCAATAAATAGGTCAACAACACCAAAAAGAGAACTCTAACTATACACATCAATATTGGCCATAAGCCATCAAATTTTTAATTCCACATATAATTAAGTAAATTTGGTAAGATTTTTTTCCTAAATACATTAAATGATTGTCATTCTCTTATTTTATTCTTTTTGAGGTCTTTATTAAGCAATTACTACTTCAGCTATGCCATTATCTTGCCTAGGATTGATGCCAAGCCAATAAGACAAATGGTAATACCCCATTAATTACAGCCTTTCATAACTCTGGCACACCAGCTTTTTTCTGTCATCTGGGTCTTTCTACACTTCCTCAAACCCCAAGTCCACTGGTTTGGAGTCATTAGCCAGCTCTTCTGAAACTCTTGGATGTAAAGTATCTGACCTGCCAATTTCAGTCCTTCCAGACACAGCAGGTGCTTTGTTTCACCCTGAAATAGGAACCACTTAACCATTACAGGGCAGAATTACCATTTCCCTAATACAGTACAGAAATGCCCATTGAATTCTGCAGCTTTCTGATTTCTGATCCATTACCTTCTCCTTCCCACCTAGGAACCACATCAAAGCCTGTCAAAATTATTACACTTCTGACCTAAACAGCTCCTAGACAGCTGCAAATTAAAGGAAAAATAAATTATGCCATTCCAAATCCTTTCACCTTCCCAAGTGCAAATGGTTGCTAGAATTAATTCAAAAGGACTAAACTGCCAGCTGTTTAAAGTTAGCACAGACTCACCCAACCTGTTACCAGACTGGATCCTTTTGCTGCTTTTCTTGAGTTACAGTCAGCTCCAAACACCACCTGTTTCTTTTCTCCAAATTTCATTAAAGGAAAACTACACCTACACACACAGTAACAAATTGAGACAATTTGACCTGACAAGGTCTTGCACAAGCAAGCAAATTAGAAGCATCACTGCTGCCATTAACCTTTCCAAGTAAATATCAATTATTAAACTTGCTGCACTACCTCTGTCCCCAGTTTGCTGCTGTGAATTAAGAGGGTCATCAGCCTTTTTGACAGATCTTGTTCATTTACACCTGCTGCCTGCCAGCAGGGGAGCCCGCACACCCGCAGCCCCAGCGCTCAGCCAAGCTGCCTTAATTCATCAGTAATTACCCTAATGAGCCACATGCAGGACCCAAGGAGGAGGACAAGTTGTTCTGCTAAATGGATGCATTGGTTTCAGGGGCACTCTCGGCAGACCTGGGTATTAGCAAACTGGTCAAAAGCTTCTTTCCCAAAGTTGCCGCTGGCTCAGCTGCTTGATTTTTAGTGATTTTCTCTGGGTGTTTTTGCTTGAGTTCCAGAAATTCCTCCTGACCACGTTCCCTGATTGAGTTTTGCTATAAAAACTAGTATTCCTCTCCCCTGGAAAAAGTCATTACTGTTCCAGAGTCTGCAAAGGTGAGGTGGGCCAGAGGCAAGGAGAGCTCCTGGCCCTGCTTCCAGCCTGGGGATGGCATCTCCAGCTCAGCACAGACCCAACCAGCCAGCTCCCCAAACCCACAGGTAAAATACCCTACATCCTCTCATACAACACACTGCCAGGGACTTCCAGAGGTATTACTGCAACACCAGCCATGGGTTCAAACACCTCAGGTGGATGGCAAATATCCTATCTAAAACTTGAGCAGGCCGTATTGATTGTCCAGGGTATTTACACACAGTGGCAATGTCCTTCAGCAACCAGAATTACATAAGCAATTCAACATTACAGGCTGTTCTCACCCAGAACCAAATCCTTTTGAGACACACATTGTGTGTCCCTGTCCCTCTGCATTACCCACTGAGTGCACCCAGGTCCTTGAGCAAAAGCAATCCCGTGGATGGGTTTGCCTGTTTGAGGCTGGACTAATCCAAACTGGAACTGGAGGGTTCCAGGCAGCACAACAGAGCCAAAGCACTGAGTGGGCAACAGCAGGAGCGAGTGTGTGGGCCAAACCTGCATGTGTTTGACTGAGCTGCCCTTAGGTCTGCTCAAAGTGTTTTGGGAGCCATGTGAGAAGCAAAATGTCTCAAAACAACGCTGATGCCCAAAGCTCTGCAGAGAGGAGCTTGGAAAGCTGCTCCTCAGCCTTGTCTCCAGAGGGCTGGAGGTGGGAGGGAATCTTGCCTTAGGCAAAGGCTGACTACTGTGTCACTTCAGGAGAGCAAAGCTGGAAGAAAATAAAAAGGCACACGGGGACAACTGAAGCTATTTGTTAATTTATCTCTCCCAAACCCTAAGGCAGCAAGACATTAATGCCCATGTGTATGAACTGAAACACTGAATAGGTGCTGAAGTTTCACTCCAGCAGAGCCTGTTTCATTGTTGAAGTTAAGGGAATTCTCCAAAAGCATTAATTAAACCCAAAGCTGCTTAAAAACCAGACCAACACAGTCTCCTGCAAGATAAATAACAGCCCAGACCCACCACACACCGCAGAGCAAAGCTGGTGGCAGGCAATCCCTGCTCTCTGCAGTAGCTTCCAGCTTTCCCCAGGAAGGACAGATTTGTGGAAGGGACAGTTCCCAGCTCGGTGGGAGCAGGCCAGGGCTGCAGGCTGGGCTGGCTCAGCAGACACAGACCAGGGGTAGGTACAGAGGGTTTGCAAGGCCATGATCAATTTGCATTCTGCAGGTGCTCATGGACAGTCCCAAGCCACGTTCAGAGCCAAGAATTATGAACCTTGCGCTGTTGGACATCATGTAGCATGATTAAATATCATAACTCATCCTGGTAATAACTCCAGCTCTGCTACCCTGGAATGCTGTTGCCTTTCCATCTCTCCCATCCAACTTCCCCCTCCCTACTTCTTCCTGTGAGGTGGGGGTGGAGGAATACATGAATGGGCAGAATGGGCCATGTTTTCCTAAAAGGGCTTTTTCATTACCACTATGTTGGCTCTCAGCCCCTGGTTTTTAATCATAATAGATCAGCCTGCTCTCCATTTACTTAAGCTTTTCCGATGTCGGAGGAAAGCACGTTTTTATTTGGCACACCTATTTTCACATCACGGGCACGCTGCCCCTGCTCATTATTAATAAATACACTTCGATTTATCACAAGCTCCATTTGAGTGCCACGGGGAGCCCGGGGCAAAAGGAGACAAATTCTTTTCTTAAGTTGTTCTGAAAGGTGCTGGGCTTGCCGACCCTCACCCCCATTAACCCAGCACAGCTCGTGCTCTCCTACTGGGAGCTCCACGGCCTGTGCAGCGGCAGACTCGGACTGATCTTGTGCCATCTCAATATATTTGTTCATTATCTTGCGCACACACAGAAGCATTTGGAAATGTACTCGGGGCACAGGCCAAATTGAATCATCTGCCTTCATTTTCCACACGATCTGAAGCTACAGCTGCTACAACAGGCTGTGGGATTTTTATTTTCCTTCCTTAACAGTTTTTTTTTTTCCCCCTCGCTCTTAAA